ATGATTATGTTTGCATTTTTTGTGTAGCAACTTGCAATGCTAGTTGCTAATGCAAGTGATCTATCTATCTAATTAAGAACAATATAAAATCCATAAATGTTGCAGCTGCAAGGAGGTGTGGCCAAACACACTAGAAGCATCACTAGAACCCTGCATAAGAAGTTAGCAACTGATGGAAACATTACAAGCTGAATTACAAGGGAGAGGACATTCTGCTGCTGCGGGAGCCACCACCAAGAAGGCCCTTTCACGAGCCACTGACTTACAAACCCTACTCGGTGGTGGAATCATGAGTAGAGCCACTCTGACAGGTCTTAAAAGCTGGGCAAGAGAAATATTGGTGAATTGGATAAGTTGTTCAGGGCTTTGTAAGTCATCATTACATCATCTCAATAGCATACTGGAAGCTACTGTAGACTCGTCAGATCTGGTGTTCTATTCACTTGACTGGCTGAATCAGTTAATATACTTGATACAACCTTCCTAGTCTGGCCCTCTCAGATATTGCTCGACCTCAACTCCCATCACAGCAAACAGTGCCAGTGGTCAGGGATGGCTGGAGGTGAAGGTCAGCAACATCTGGGGAAAAACCCCATGTTGGCTACCCCTGGGTTAGGCCATAGACCAGTGATCCATGAGAGGTGGTGGAACATTTTTCTGCCCAAGGGCCACATTCCCTTCTGGAAACCTTCTGGGGGGCCACATGTGGGTGAGGCCAGAAGCAAGAGTGGGTGGATCAATGAATGTACATTTCCCCATTATACTAGGCTAGTTTCTACATAAACACAAGGCAAGCAAGAGACATCAGAGTTCAAGACAACATTCCAGCCATGAGTAAACAGAATTTGAAGCAGGGCTGGTGAACAGGGCAGCCGGGAGAGAGTTCAGAGGGCTGGAGAGAGATGGTTGGAGGGCCACATTCTGCCCCCCAGGCCTGAGGTTCCCCATTCCATATCTGCTTTGTGATTTGTTATGTACTGAGTTGAATAGGATCCAAAATGCAGCAGTCTGTTTGGTCCTAGAACAATAGGACCCAGAATGCAGCAGTCTGATTGGTCCACAGGAGCCACCCAATCCATCTCCAGGTGGAAGTGAATCCGTAACCTGATTGGCCTACAGGAGAATCCCGGAATTAGCCAATCACGTGGGGCCCATTGTGTAAATAATGTATATAAAGCAGACATTCTGGAGGAACTTCCATTCCTCCTCACCACTATGAGCTGAATAAAGAGCATGAAATCCACTCTTGACTCCGAGTATATTTCATGATTGCTCTGATGCCACATTGCCTTTGGCCTCCCAGAATAATAAAAATGGCAGTGATCTACCCATTGTCATTGCCCATAGTTGTTGAGCCTTTTTTAAGGGGGAGAGGCCACGGCTGCTGAGCTTTCTAAGGGAATGATTGCAATAAATCGCTCACGAAACAGTCCACAGCCCTCCCTTATTTTCCCACTCTGATGTCGAGGCAAGGAATACAAGCTCTCACAGCACTGCAAGCGGCGGCGATTGAAAATAGCGCCAGGAGTGGGGCGAGTCGCGATCGCCCAGGAGCAAGTGGGTGATCACTTTTATAACTCCCGCGATCGACCTGGAGCACCCCAGGGATCTACCTGTTGATCGCGGTCGACCGGTTGGACATTGCTGCTATCAGAGCTTAGGGAGGTCAGATGATTTTGACAAAAACCCAAATGGGAGTGGACCTCTGCTGACGTCTGCTTATTTGGCCCACATGCAGAATGGAAATCAACCCAACAAATATGATCGGTATTCACCGTTGTTGTTGCTTTCAGTCTGCGAGCGAAACGTAATTGATTATTCCCCGTCCCACCCTAGACAGCATAACAGATGTAATGCACACACTCTGTACAATTAATTATGTAAGTTACATGATTCTGCCACAGCCGGCAGCGACATGAATAACGTAGAGTGTTTGTTTTGTTTTGTTTTTGCATAAGGCAAACCGCAGCACGACAGAAACGGCGTTTCACTAGCGCCTCCTTTCATCTCTGCTGTTGGGTAGCTCATGGCCACCTTTCTGCCGGTTATGGCTGCCAACTTGGCTGGCTTTAAAAGCCAAATTCACGAAGGATAAAGCTCTTAAATGCTCCTAGCTATGATGCCATGGAGTTTTCTTGGCAGGGATACTGGAGTGGCTTGCCGGTTCCTGCTCCATCAAGAGACATCACCTTGCCAAGAAAGGTCCGTATAGTTAAAGCTATGGTTTTCCCAGTAGTGATGTATGGAAGTGAGAGCTGGACCATAAAGAAGGCTGATCGCCGAAGAATTGATGCTTTTGAATTATGGTGCTGGAGGAGACTCTTGAGAGTCCCATGGACTGCAAGAAGATCAAACCTATCCATTCTGAAGGAAATCAGCCCTGAGTGCTCACTGGAAGGACAGATCGTGAAGCTGAGGCTCCAAGACTTTGGCCACCTCATGAGAAGAGAAGACTCCCTGGAAAAGACGCTGATGTTGGGAAAGATGGAGGGCGCAAGGAGAAGGGGACGACAGAGGACGAGATGGCTGGACAGTGTTCTCGAAGCTACCAGCATGAGTTTGACTAAACTGCGGGAGGCAGTGGAAGACAGAAGTGCCTGGCGTGCTCTGGTCCATGGGGTCACGAAGAGTCAGACACAACTAAACAACTAAACAACAGCTATGATACCTCGGCTGTGTCTCTACTCCTGCAGGCAGTAGGCTTCTCTGAATATCCGCTGCCAGAAATCGCAGATGGGGAGAGTTGCTGTTGCGCTCACGTCCTCCTTAGAGGCTTCCCACTGGAGCATAAATACTTGAGAAGCAAAGCATCCTGTTCAGTACAGCATCCTGTTCTCACACCGGCCAACTAGATACCTGTGGGAAGCCCACATGCAGGATTCGAGCACAAAAAAACCTCTCCCTTCCTGTGGTTTCCAGCCACTGGCATTCAGAAACATTGCTGTTTTGAAAGGTAGAAGCAGAGCACAACCAGTGTAGCTAGTATCCCATCGATAGCCCTCTCCTCTGTGAATCTGTCCCATCCTCTTTTAAAACCATCTTAGTACAGTGGTACCTCAGGTTACAGATGCTTCAGGTTACAGACGCTTCAGGTTACAGACTCCGCTAACCCAGAAATAGTACCTTGGGTTAAGAACTCTGCTTCAGGATGAAAACAGAAATTGTGCTCCGGCGGTGGAGCGGCAGCAGGAGGCCCCATTAGCTAAAATGGTGCTTCAGGTTAAGAACACTTTCAGGTTAAGAACGGAACTCCAAAATGAATTAAGTACTTAACCCGAGGTACCACTGTAGGTGGACATCACTTCTTCCTGTGGGAGTGAAGTCCCGCATCTGGTTGGCCACTGTGAAAACAGGATGCAGGACCAGACGAGCCTTTATGTCAGGGGTCAGCAACCTAAGGCCCATGGGCCGGAAGTTGCCTGCGGAGGTTGTTTGACCGGCCCACAAGCAGTCCACAAACCGAGCTGCCCACTCTTGCACTGTACTAAACCAGCGCAGCACAGTGTGGGCACTCACTTCCAAGGCACCGGAAATTGCGTCTGCGCCGACACAGACGCTGAAAAATGCATCTATGCATGTGCAGACGCTGAAAAACGCAGCTGTGTGCATTTATGCGCACACACTATCCAGCCCACGGAGGGATTTCTGAGGGACCAATCCGGCCCAGGCAAGATAAACCTTGCCGACCCCTGCTTTATTTTATTTTTTAAATAAAGTAAATATTTATATATTTTTCACAAATAAAATACAATTAATCAAACATTTTCCCATACACATTCACTCAAAAAGTCGACTGACCCCTGCTTTATGGGCTCAAAATGCATCTGCAGGAATGTTCAGAGCCCAAAAGCTGCCCCCAAGGGTTGGTGGCACCTGGGGGAAAAGGGTCTCTCACCCACCCCAAAAGGTTGGTCAGATGCAAAATGCAAGCAGGGCTCCTGTGTCTTCAACAGTCGCCTAACAAGCAGCTGCAGCTGGTGTGCCTTACAAAACAACAACCCCCAGGCCAGAGCTCAGCCTTTGTTTCTTTCTGGCCACTCTACACTCTGCCCCACTAAGACTAGTTAAAGAAATGCCATCAATGGGTTATAGAGGGTTGGACTAGGATTTGGGAGACCTGGGTTCAAATCCCTCACTCAGCCATGGAGCTCTCTGCCTGGCCTTGGGCCAGTCACAAGCTCTCGGCCTAACCTACCTCACAAGGTGGTTGTGATGATAAAAGGATGTGGGAAGAAAGGTGGGATAGAAATGGTGTAAATTAATAAGGGATGGAAAATGGCGCCACCCTAGCGGTGCCTAATTTTCTTTTCTGAGGAAGATGCTTCCCGGCTCTACCCAGTGTCTGCTCCTGGTTTGGGGGACCACCCTATCATCCTCAGTGGAGCTTTAGGTGTGTTTTCAAGCACACACTCACTTCATGACAGGTGAGATTCTGCCTTAGATCAATAATAATAATAATAATAATAATAATAATAATAATAATAATAATTTATTATTTATACCCCACCCATCTGGCTGAGTTTCCCCAGCCACTCTGGGCGGCTCCCAATCAAGTGTTAAAAACAGTACAGCGTTAAATATTAAAAACTTCCCTGAACAGGGCTGCCTTCAGATGTCTTTTAAAGATAGGATAGCTGCTTATTTCCTTCACATCTGAAGGGAGGGTGTTCCACAGGGCAGGCACCACTACCGAGAAGGCCCTCTGCCTGGTTCCCTGTAACCTCACTTCTCGCAATGAGGGAACCTCCAGAAGGCCCTCGGCGCTGGATCTCAGTGTCCGGGCTGAACGATGGGGGTGGAGATGCTCCTTCAGGTATACAGGACTGAGGCCGTTTAGGGCTTTAAAGGTCAGCACCAACACTTTGAATTGTGCTCGGAAACGTACTGGGAGCCAGACCACTGGTCCATCTAGCTTAGCTTTGCTGTCATGAAGTGAGTGTGTGCCTGAAAATGGCAGTGGTTCTTCAGGGCTTCAGACAGGGGACATTCCCAGTCCTACCTGGAGATGCCAGGGATTGAACCTGGGACCTTCTGCTTGCAAAACAGGTGCTCTAACCATGGAGCAATGGCATTTCTCTTGTGGCATAGGTGTTGGAGAGAGAGGTTTGGAAGAGCGATTCTTACTCTCTCGTAGCAGAGTTAGCATAATGGTGATTGCTCCAAGCACATTTAAACTTGGTTAGATTTGCACCTGCCCTCATCCACCTTTAAACAAAAGTTCCCCACAGAAATACTTAGGCTAGAATAAATCACAGACACAGTTTTCATCCATTGGCAGTAAAATGAAGATGAAACAGGTTCCAAATGACTTAAAAATTAAAGAATTTTGTTTCTTTACAAAAAGGATTGTGCAATCTTTGGGTTAGCAAAGATGCAGTCTGTGAAATCTCCCTTTTGGAGAGATTCAGCTCACTTGCAGGGAGCCACGTCTACATGGCTTCTTGCCTGTTCCATGAAGAACAAAGGAAAAAAGACTGAGAATGGTGGGCGGGGGAGCAGAAGCTGCTGAGAGCCTGCTAAGCCACACCCACCTGCAATCTGAGCTCTGGGCTCAGGTTAACTCTTCCATGCCCTCAAGTGTAAGTTGGTTTCTGTATATTACAACAGTAGGAGAACAGGAAGCTGCCTCATAACGAAAGTCAGACCACTGGTCCGTTTAACTCAGTATTGTCTACACTGACTGGTGTTGTTTTTCTAGAGTTTTGGGCAGCTCTCTCTACCACCCCTACCTGGAGATGTCAGCGATTGGACCAGGGACATTTTGCATGCAAAGCATATCCTCCTCTTCCTTCCTTCCCCTCCTCCTCTTCCTCTTCCCTTTCTTCTCCTTGTCCTACTTCTTCTCCTTTTTCTTCCTCATATAGTCTTTTCTTTCCCCATTCCTCTCTCTCTCTCTCTCCCACACACATACCCGTCCACCTCCTCCTCCACTTTAGTTAGGATTGCCCTGTAACTGAAGTCCATTCCTTTTAAGGGGTCGAATCTTACTTTCTTAGCTACCCAGCCCCTCGTTTGTAGCTTATGATTCTGTTACCAAAGAGGAAGGCTTAATGATGGTGAGACCTTAGAATGACTTAGTTGTGATGTGCCCTTAGCCGGCAGCCTGTCATCTCAAACACCTATTCAGGTGGATATTTTGTTTATCAGATCCATTGGCTAATTTGCGATGCGAACGCAAGCTCCTTCCTGGTTTCAAGCAGCAACTTCCTGAGGGGAATTTCCAGAGAGTTCTCTTGCACACATTGCATCCAGACTTGCTCACTATTCTTCTGTATCACATGCTGTTTGTACCTGCTTGGCCTCACCCTTGTAGACAATAGCAAGCCATTATCTCCAAATGGCTTCCAAGAACTCAGCTGGCTCTATCTAGCAGAGGGCTCTCACAGAGTCTCTGGAGGCTTTCTGAAACACTGCTGCAATCTTCCCCTTTGCTGTTTTTAAACTTGGGCGTTTCAGCGAAGGATGGAATGATTTCTGTCGATTTCGGTTCCGTGAGCTTTTCATTTCCCCAGTCTTAAATTCAGTTCTCTGCATTTCAGCAGCAATTTGCAATTACCATTGTTTTTCAAAGGAAATCCTCATGAAAACCCTTCAGCGTTTTAGTGCAAACTCCGACTAAATAAATGTATGTTTGTTTTGATGGACAGCTGCATTTTTTGCAAGCTGTTTCTGCTAATACAGTGATACCTCGGGTTACATACGTTTCAGGTTACAGACTCCGCTAACCCAGAAATAGTACCTCAGGTTAAGAACTTTGTTTCAGGATGAGAACAGATATTGTGCTCCAACGGCGCGGCGGCAGCGGGAGGCCCCATTAGCTAAAGTGGTGCTTCAGGTTAAGAACAGTTTCAGGTTAAGAACGGACCTCCGGGACTAATTAAATACTTAACCCGAGGTACCACTGTAATTTTTTGTAAATATTGTTTGGGTAGGTGCAGGGTTTGATGGATAGCTGTGTTTAAGTTCTCAGAGTTGTTTTGAGAATTGCTAATTAAAGAAAGGCCATTAATGGGCATTTGGAAAGCACTTGGAAAGCTTGTTTAAAAAAGGAATTAATTGCAATTCAAGTCTACCTCTTCCAAAAAGAAACTGATTCCATTCCAGTTAATCCCCTAGGGCCACTGGGAAACAAGACAGGGCCATTAGCGATGCAAGAGAACGGTTCTTCCCCACCTGACCTGAGGTATGAACAGAGACTGGGATTTGGAAGGCTGACCAGAGTAACTGAGCATGATGTCACAGGAAGATTTGGGGGGGAGCTTTGGAATAACTGAGAAAAGCACAGATCCATCTTAGGCAGGCTGGCTGAAGGCAGGCAGGGAGAGATGCCGGACTCCAGAGTTGTACTGCTGTGGGGAACAAGCCCCTCTTGATATGATCATGCTTTAAGATCTGGACTCCCTCCGTGCAGACTAAATAATGTGAATAAACCATATACACTGGTACCTCGGTTTAAGAACAGTCCGGTTTAAGAACAATTTGGTTTACAAACTCTGCAAAACCGGAAATAGTGTCTTGGTTTGAGAACTTTACCTCAGTCTAAGAACGGAAGCTGAATGGTGGAAGGGCACAGGCTGCGGGAGGGCTCGTTAGGGAAAGCGCGCCTCAGTTTAAGAATGGTTTCGGTTTAAGAATGGATTTCCAGAATGGATTAAGTTCGTAAACCACTGTATCTTAAAGCCATGACAGTCTCCACCGTGTCTTCAGTTCTCCAAAGGAGCACCCCTTGGAATCTTGCCATGGCTTGACAGAGATTGAGGGTGGCTTCCAACTTTTGTAACAGCATGTTATAACGTATTATGGGGAGTGTAGTTTGTTATGTGTGCTGAGAGTTGTTGGGAGACTCTATTTCCTTCCCAGAGCTACAGTTCCCAGAGTTCCTAGGGAAGAGGAATTGATTGTTAAAGCCCTCTGGGAATTGCCTCAGGGACTCGCTTTGAACACCCTATCTTTAACATAGGATGTTTCAACACCCTAAAGCACACTAGCTGTGCAGCCATAAATAAAAAACCACATGTAATAGACAAAACTACCAGAAATGAGAACCTGTGGGATGTTGTTGTTTTGTTTTGTTTTTAAAAAAAAATGCTCAAATTTCTAGATCTCATTGCAAACATGAGTAAAGCATTCTTCAATCAGACCAGCATGCCCTATCAAGAACATTTGGAGTGAAAAAGTGGAAGGGACCCCATGGGGCATCTAGCCCAACCCCAACAATGCAGGAATCAACGGCTACTATCTACAATGTCTGGGGATGTGGGTGGCGCTGTGGGTTAAACCACAGAGCCTAGGACTTGCCAATCAGAAGGTCGGCAGTTTGAATCCCCGTGACAGGGTGAGCTCCCGTTGCTCCCGCCAACCTAGCAGTTTGAAAGCACGTCAAAGTGCAAGTAGATAAATAGGCGGGAAGGTAAACGGCGTTTCTGTGCGCTGCTCTGGTTTGCCAGAAGTGGCTCAGTCATGCTGGCCACATGACCCGGAAGCTGTACACCGGCTCTCTTGGCCAGTAAAGCGAGATGAGCGCCACAACCCCAGAGTCGTAACGGTCAGGGGTCCCTTTACCTTTACCTTTATCCACAATGGCTATGTTCTGCCTCCACTGTTGGGAGACTGTATGCCTCCCCATGCCAGTTGCTGGCAAGCCACCATGAGAACAGGATGTTGGCTTGACCCAGCAGCCTCTTCTTACTTTCTCTCGGAAATTCAAGCAGATTTGCATAGCCTTAATCTGCACCCATTGCACTGTGATATTGACAATGAGCTGTGAAGGGCATGAGGTCATGACTTCAGGCAGGTTCTGTTCAACCTTGAATAATAATAATAAAACTTTTAGCAGGCATTAGTTGCCAGGTCAAACCAAAGCTTGCAACAATGACACTTCTGAAAGATTACGAACGTGGATGACATTGGTGACTTATTGATCAACAAGGAAGAGCATGTGATTGGTGGGGGATGTGATAGAGGAGTATATCAGAGTGATGGGCAGGCATGACTGAGCCATCTGTTTAGCCACCTCTTAGCTATTGCCACTTTCTCTACCCAAGAAGAGACTCTGATGCAATTCCTTATAGCCTGTGCCTCTAGCAAAGTGGATGTTTGCCACACCACACCCTGGAAAAGTCTATTGAACTTTATAATTTATTTTTTTCAATGATTAATGACAAATTCTTCCAAGGTGTCTTAAAACTAGGGACTGGTGGTTTTTTTCCAGCTTTGTTCTCTCTCCATTTCTCTTTTTTCCATTCCTAACTTCAGTTCTTCACATTTCCATATCAGTTTACAAGTAAGAACAACAAAAAGAAGAAAATTCATTTGAGTTCATTTTTCTTTTTTTAAAATAGGAAGTGAAAATTCATTTTAGGGAAAATTTATTCTCATATACATTTGTACGCAATTTTGCCTAAATACACATTTTTGAAAAAGCCGTTTTCCGAAACGATGCATGAATCAAAACACAGCCATCCTCTGAAATCTGCACTTCTCTCAATTTTGCAATGCAGATAAAATAATTAAAAATAATTTGCGGACCGGTGTTGAAATATGGAGGAACAAGCTAGAGTTTGGGAAAATGACAAATTGAAATGGATGGATCCATCCACCCCTACCTCAGTATGTTACTTATGGTCAAGTTACTTATCTATTAGCCTCACCAGTTTACCTTCTGTGAAATGGGTCCAGCAAGTTAGGGGAGGTGGAACTGTCCCCACCAATAAATGTTGAAACCCGAGAAGGGGGCTGGCAAGCTAGGAGGTGTGCAGAAACAGAAACAGGAGTTCAAATTATTCATCTGGCAGTGAGGACCATCTGGGGCGGATGAGCTTCAAAGCCCCTTCCATCTCTAATCGAGTGTTTCCCAAACTTTGGTCTCCAGCCATATTTGGACTACAATTCCCATCATCTCTGGCTAGCAAAAGCAGTGGTCAGGATGATGGGAACTGTAGTCTGAGAACAGCTGGAGACCCATGTTTGGGAAACCCTGCTCTAATCCTTTGAGTCTGGGCTCCCCTGGCACTCACTCTGGCATCATTTCAGTGCCAGGCAAAGCCCTTTTTAATTGTCCTTTTAATTAT